CTTGGGGGAACAGGGACTCCCCCAGTGCCTGTTGATCCCCCCTGACTAGTTTATAGCAGGCCACAAGATTCCCCCCTCAGCCTTCTCTTCTGGAGGCTGAACAGGTTCAGGTCCCGTAACCTTTCCTCATAGGACCTTCCCTGCTGTCCCTTGATCATGTGAGTGGCCCTCCTCTGGACCCTCTCGATGCTGTCCACATCCCTCTTAAAGTGCGGCTCCCAGAACTGGATGCAGTACTCCAGCTGCGGCCTGACCAGTGCCGCATAGAGGGAGAGGATCACCTCCTTCGTCCTGCTTGAAATGCATCTGTGGATGCACGACAAGGTACAGTTGGCCTTCCTAGCCGCCTCCCCACACTGCCGAGCCATGTTCATCTTGGAGTCAATAATGACTCCAAGATCCTTTTCCACCTCCGTGCTGACAAGAGGGGAGTTCCCCAGCCTGTAGGTATGGTGCCGGTTGTTCCTCCCCAGGTGCATCACCTTGCACTTGTCTGTGTTGAACCCCATCCTGTTCTCCTCCGCCCATCCTTGTAACCTTTCAAGGTCTGACTGTAGCCTGTTGCTCCCTTCTATTGTGCCCACATCCCCCCACATCTTGGTGTCATCAGCAAATTTGAACAGGGTGCTTTGCACCCCCTCATCCAAATCACTGATGATGTTGAACAGGGCGGGCCCGAGGACCGAGCCCTGCGGGACCCCACTGCCCACATCCTTCCAGGCCGAGAAGGACCCATCCACTACCACCCTCTGGGTGCGGCTCTCTAGCCAGTTGGCGACCCATTGGACTGTGTGGGTGTCTACGCCACAGTCCCCCAGTTTCCTAATGAGAACGGGGTGAGAGACAGTGTCAAAAGCCTTCCGGAAGTCCAGGAAGACTATATCCACTGCTACCCTGCATCCAATGATTTAGTGACCTGATCGTAGAAGGCCACCAGGTTGGTCTGACATGACCTGCCGCTGATGAACCCGTGCTGGTTGCCCCTGAGCATGCATTTCCCTGCTGGCCCCTCCTGGATGTGTGCCAGAATAATTTAATTTGTGTGCCAGAATAATTTTCTCGAACAGCTTGCCCAGGATCGAGGTAAGACCGACTGGCCTATATTTTCCAGCACTAAAACTGCCAGGCATTGAATACTGTTACATAGAAGGGAAAAGCTAGTTTTTTCTACTGTTTTACATTAAAAAAAAATTTTTTTTCATTTTTCATTTTCATTTTTTGCAACAAAATTAATTGTGTATTTGTATCTGTTTTATGGTTTTTTAAATTAAACAAATAGTTGGCAGTAAGTTTTCTGAAGTCACAGACAAACTCCAAGCAGAGAAAATCTGGAAAGAGACCAGGAAACCTAATCTGAGACCTTTAACGTAAGAAACA